AGGGGATATTCGAACTCATATTTTGATTTGTTTTGAGAGATATTTGTTATTACTCTCTTTTATTTGGATATGTATGAGATTATGTGATGTTTAGCTTTACTGATTAGTACTTATAATATGATTGTCAGTATGAGATTTCAATCATTTATATCTTTATGTTGAGATAATTATTCCACAGCGAGATGCATAATTTTGTATTGGCGTATGAAACGTGAATTTGAATACATGTTATGAACATGATCAGTATGCATGTTTGATTTCTTTATCATTTTGTGAAGTCAATTATGACACTCTCTTTGAGATATATGTTAATTTACTCTGATTATGCTATTTATATCTATGTGGGGTTAGAGGGTGTAACAATGGTGGTAGAAAGCGTATAGTATGAGTTGATAAGGTGTTGAAACGTTCTCATTTTTTCAAATTCGTCTTCACCACCTTAACAAAGCGCATACTTTGGCTATGGTACATATGGTTTGTATTCCTATGGAAAAATACAAGAAGTATGAAGTTATTGTGGAAACTTCATATACCTTGTATTTCTTTTTCGTAGCATCACAAACTAGATGAACTTCATAATTTGTTACAGTTCAAAGATTATTTTCAATAAAATGTGCCTTCTTGAAACAATTTAATATACCTTGTAATATTGTATATTGTTAGTGTTTTGTTGCTAAAATGTATTTTTTTTAACATGTATTGATTGTGTTGTTGCATGTTTTTATTGTTGACAAATATTCTCAAAACAAGAACAAAACATTGCTAAGTCACAAGAAAGAGGCTTCTTGTGACTTAGCAATTTTTTATTCTTTAAATTATTATACAAGTTTACAATAGATGAAGTTTAGTTTATTATATGGTATGTATATTTTTTATTTCACTAACCTTTTAATGAAAATACATTCATTTAAATTTACATAGAAACTTATAATTTGAAAATTAAGATGTATTTGAAAATCAACCTATATTAGTCAACATTTTCTGAATTGTATGTGTCTCATCGTTTATTTCATGCTCCTTAACATATAGAATATGGTTCAATAAACTGATTCCTTCATTATATATATATATATATATATATATATATATATATATATATATATATATATATATATATATATATATATATATATATATATATATATATATATATATATATATATATATATATATATATATATATATATATATATATATATATATATATATTCTAGTTTAATTTTAATAACATCAATTTATTGGTTAATTCTACCTCATCGCCGTGGTTTATCATCGTAATTGTTATGATCATGATTGTTATGATGATAAGTCAATATAACAATCACGACGATAAGCAACGATGATGAGGTAGAGTTAGCCAATAAATTGATATTATTAAAATTAAACTAGAATCCAAGGATTCAATGCAATGAAGGAATCAATGTAATGAAGGAATCATACCATTGAATCATATTTTATATGTTAAAGAGTAGGAAATGAATGATGAGAGACATGCAATTCGAAAAACAATGTTTAGTTTAAGTTGGTTTTCAAGAATCGTTAAATTTTTAGATGATATACTTCTTCATCAATTTGAATGGTTGTATTTATTTAATGAGGTGTATGGAAGAACAAGCAATCTACATGTAATATAATAAACTATGGGTATTTTCCACAACGAATATCTAAAGTAACCGTGATGAATTGTAATTTATGTTCCAAAATATCGATGTTGAGAATAGAACCTGAGACCTGTAGGTTTATCATAACGGTTGAGTTAACTAACTATTGTAATATCGCATGCACTTTCCTGTATACTACAACGGTCCCAGGACCGTGATTGTAGGTAACACATTTACAATAACACTCTAAATAACAACGCCTGAACTTGTGTGATTATATATATTTTCCAACTGTTGGTAAATGCCTTTTTCGTAGCAGTGCCTCCAACCTATATAGATTATGGGAACCTAATCACACAAATTTCCAACCAAAGCTTTTAATGGGTTTGGGTTTGAACCACATAAATTTTCCCTAAACATGGATGATGTTCATTAAGGTGAATCAATAACAACCTTGAAGAACTTTATACATTTCTAACCAACCAGAAATACATAAACCTATCATCACAAAATAACTTTCCTCGCAAAAGCATTTGTCTTTAAGAACTAGTGAGAGAAAGTGACAAAGAAAAACATAGAGAGAGAGAGAGTGTGTGTGTCAATACACATCTCGTATTTTGGATGATTTGAACCGAGGAATAAGATCTCTATTTAGTGTTCAAATAGTCCAAAAGAGAAAATAGAATTTAATGGTTTTTGATTGTTACTAATTAATTGACACAATCGATTAAGTCATTAAAAATTAATGACCAAGTTATCCAAAATAGACAAGAAGTAATTTGTAGTCGTTGGCAATCGATTGGGTACATTCAAATTTACTTTATCCTTAAAAACGCGGCAATCTAATCGACTAAATCCAATTAAAATATATATATTTTTTGGCTTTTTGAATGTTCCCATTTCTTTCTAGGAAACTCCTATATATTTCTTCAAGACATTTTATTTTCAAAAACATTTTATAAAAAGGTTTTAAGTGTGTGTGTGTGTGTGGGGGGGGGGGGGGGGGGGGGGTGGGGGGTGGGGGGGGGGGGGGGGGGGGGTCTTGTAACCAACTACTTCTACAAAGAAAGAATTTTTTCTTACATTGATTCACTCAGTTGCTATTTTAGGATGATCAACATAGATCTTGTGTCTGATGGATTTCTGCCCCTCCTTGGCTATTTCTCTCTAAAGTTGGCTATTTTTGACCCCTTTCCCAATTTAAGGAAATTAGGGGAGAAACAATTTGATGAATAAATATGGTAATGAAAGACTATTTGTAAGCAGGAAAATTTATGCTAGTTTTGTTTATCCTCAAAAATGTTTTAGCCTATGATATATGTTTTTCCCTGCTCTCTGATGTTTTTCTGAATCATGGCCTGAAGTTTGTCGACATCTTTTAGTAGCACATCTTGCATGTTATAAACAACTTGTAATACAAGATTTCATGATATTATGTTGAGACATATTGCCTCTATGGACTCAAAACAAGAGGCAAATATGTGAGTGCTACCAATGTCAATAAGAATCTTGAAAGTGTGGTGGTTGTAGAGCCTCAAAATTCGCAGTGATTGGCTTTGGAGCTGACTAGAGAGAGAACTGAGACTGGAAATATCAGTGGAAACATCATTTGTAACAGGAACTTCAAATTCTGGTGGTGGCTCATTTTCATCTTCTCCTATGAGAATTAGCACCTCGTTCTGTCATCAATGAGAAGGATTCCATTTCTCATCACATTTGAAACAAAGGCCCTTGGAACGACATTCTCTAAGTTCGGAGGCTGGGAGGTTGCAGATGTGAAGGTTTAATGGCGGATTTAGTAAGAGTGGTGATAACGAGCTTGTTGGAAGGGTGTTGGAGTTGGGTCGGGTCAGGTTGGCAGAAGCATTTGATTGAGAATTTGGGCCATGAGACTAGATTTTGCCCATGAAGGGTGTGCCATCAAAAAGGGACTCAAAATCTCTTGCCATGGAAAGGTTTTTTATCAAAATAGTGGCCCAGTGAAATTGCAATCCCCTTCTCAAATGTTTCTTCGATCCATTAATAAAAAAGCTGATAAGTAAGGATTTAGAAATATCAAATATTTTGTTCATCAAATTCTTAAAATGAGTTAGAAAATATGCTACATAACTGGTTTGAGAGAGTAGGGAAAGATCTCATTCAATGTCTTAGTACTAAGTAGGTCTGAAGTGGAGGGGAATGACGATAAAGAACTACGACCATGACGTTAACATGTTGTTATGTATAGCCCAATGAAACCATGCAATCACGCGTCCGTTAAGATGAAATGTGACGATTTGAAGTCGGAACTCTGCCGAAGTGGCATGGAAATCGAATAAGGCTTCAATCTAGAAGTTCCAATCAAGTGGGTTAGATCTATCAAAATGTATAACACTTAATATCAACGAACGTGAAGGAGATCCGATTTCACCGATAGGAGTTGTGTGGTTGTCCACGCTAAAGGTTGCGATCTTATAATCAACCTCCATGAGATGACAGTGGAGAGTGGAATAAACAGAATCAAAGTGAAATTTCAGTGATGATTGCAACATAGAACGAAGCGATTCCACTTGTGCATCATTGAAGGGCGTTCATGATGTCAGTGGTGTTCATAATGAAAGCACTAATAATACATCCAAGTATAATAGTACATTAATTTATACACTCTTCGAGTGAGTGCCTAACTCCAAAAGAGAGAAGAAAAAATATTCAAAGAAAAAAAGAAATAATTCTTATCATTCAGGGTGCAATTTACATCATATAAATCAAACATAAAACTTGCGAAATAAAAAAACTAACAAAATTGAAATAATAAAATTCGAACTCAAGGCATTCCTTCACATACAAAGTCATTTATCCATGATAGCTTCTTGATGACATGTTTGCCCAATATTGGATCATCATTTTCGTCTTCAATTACTCCTTCAGTAATATGAGATATTAGACTTTCCTCATTCTCTAATTCTCTAATTCTCTAATGGGCTTTGCTCAACTAGCAGGGTCGTAACAATTCCCTTTCTTTTTATAATTTTGTTTCCAAGTTAGTATTAAATACTATTTACTCTTCAGATTGTGGGACCTATTAAATAATACTTTAGATATTACTTTATTGTGCTATAATAGTTACTTGTCTCATAACAGATAAATGTACTAATATAATTCCTCATCATCTATAAAATCCTATTATTCAATATTATTTAAAAAACTATTGTTATAGAATGTTTCATAGAGACAAACTTTATACAATTGGATTCCTTCTTATCTTCTCTCTTTGTTGATTACAACACAATGATAGAAAACCAACAAAGGGAATGAAAATGAAAGAATTTTGACCAATGCCAAAAACTTACTAACTCATAAAAGAATTAATTAACATGAATGAAAAAGTAAAGAAGAAAAGAAACTCAACAAACAAAGAACTTAAAAGCTAAGAAGTTGGTCTAGATATTCAGAACCCAAATCTTCCAACACCAAAACATTTTCTGAAACAACATTCTTCATTTCCCTTTCTACCCTGTTGCTCTTTTTGTTACTACTTGCCTTAGACTTTCTTTTCATAGTGTGTTTCTTCTTAAGTGCCAAAACAGGAGAAGAACCATCTTTCTCCCAACACTTGTTCACCATATCTTTTAATGATTCTCTCACAACTTGTTCAGGAAAATTCAACACTGCCATCGAACCTCTTGTCGATAAAGCTGCTTGATCATAAGCTAATGCAGCTTCTTCAGCTGTATCAAATGTTCCAATCCAAACTCGAACACCTTTTCTTGTCGAATCTCTTATTTCGGCTGCGAATTTCCCCCACGGTCTTCTCCTAACTCCTCTATATGGCCTCTTAGGTGATGATAATGATGATGATTGTGCTAAATGAGTAGAATTGGATGAAACTTCTTGTGATTCTGTGCTTGTTTGAGAAACTGAAGTGTTGGAATTGGAATTTGAATTGAATGAAAGTTCTTGTGTGTTTTGATCAGTGAAGTTCAAGGGAATGGCGATGTTATTGTTTGTGGTGTCTTCATTGAAAATGAAGAAATCATCCCATGAAAAGGGTTCTGAAAAAGAAGAGGAATCTGAGAATGAAGTGTTAAGGTTTTGGTATTGGAAGAATGGGGAATCAAAATCCATGTCTTGTGTGAACAAAAAAGTAGACATTGAATTTAAGGTTTTATTTTGTTAACTACTTTGTGAGTGGTTTGAAAAGATATGTAGTGTTTGGTCCCTTTATATTCTCATTGAAAAAATGAAACATAACGACCAAAGAGATAAACAAAAAAGGAAAATTAAATTAGTTAATAAAGTGATGTTGAAAGATTTTGGTCAAGGGGAGGTGTATTTGGATATCTAATTATTTTAATAGTATGGAATTGTTATTATTACACTATTAATTTAAAGGGTGAAAAAATATTGATAGTTAGAAAATAGGCACGTGAAGTCAAAGGAAGATTAAAGAAACGTGGGCAACTCGAACTTAACTTTTTTTAGAAAGTTCGGAAACAACTTGTAGGTGATTCAATGTGTTTGCACCAATGCTACTCACTCATTCTTTTTTTTAATGGACGTTTTAAAAAATAATTAGGCTTGAATTCATTTTTAAACTCTATTTTATTTAAAATAAAATTGCAGTGTACTCATGATAAGGCTTAATTTTACAATCCTTTATTAAATATATTTTGGGATTTTCTTTTTCATTTATGAGATGGCATTTATTTACCTTTAATTTCGGTAAATGATATTGGTCTCTTAACAAAAATTTACTTGCAAGATCGATTAGAAAATTCCAGTATAGTGTTTACATAAAGTGTGTTTAAAAAGAATTCGTTCGACTGATGCCAAACGAGTTTATAAGCAATAAAGCAAGACTTGTAAAATAAAATGAAAAGCATTTTAAACTGTAAACATAAATCACATAACATCATAATAGTTAAAAATAAGTTGATTCAAACATACATTGCCCTAGCTTGACTCATTTTGCTCGTTCGTTTGGATACTCTGAGTGACTAGCGTATAGGAATGTGAAAGTTTAAACCTTTAATATTATGCACTAAGTGCTTTATTTATAATACACAAAAATAACTACTTTCTAGCGGACTTCCCTTCTTTGTACGCCACGTGTATCTTGTAACTCCTCTCCATGATCCCACGTTCTCCATTCGTACTCTCGAACCCACGCTCTCCATGTTTTCCTCCAAAACGCTTTGCTCGCTTGATGGATCTTTTGGGCCTTTTGACGTTTCTAGACCTAATGACATATGAGGTCTTCTCCGGTCGACTGCTTCTGCTTTCAGGCCCAACCACTTACTTATAAAATCTCTCTAGGGCGACTGCATCATTAGTCGAATCACATAAATCACATTTTCCAAAGAACCTTTTTATCCTTTTATTTTGGTTGGATTTTGGTCCTTGTCGAAAATCCCAGCCAACAAATTTTCCACTAAAATGTCATTTTTGACTGAAAAGGGTAGAAGTGGACATTTTAGTCCTTCTTACTTAGTGCGAACTGACGTCATCGTAATCTTGACTTTTCTCTCAAATGTCACGTCTGCGAACAAACGGCCACTACCCTACTTTTTATTTTCAACTTCCTAGGATAAATGTGGCCCCTAACTCAACAACTTCTTCAATCAATTGCCACCTGCTTGACACATGTTGGTCGTGTAGCCACATCTTTCCCATTTTCTTCCCAAACGTTTGGTTTTCTTGATGGTATAAATACCCTTCTCATCTCTTTAATTTCCTTTTTACATTCTCTTTGCATTCTCAAACTCTCTGCTTCAATCTCAAAGACAACTTCTTGCTTCCATTTTTTCTAGAAAAACTTTCAATCATCCTCATGGTCACTTCAAGCCAACTTACTGAAAAAATTCAAAACCTGATAAAATTGAACTAGTCTCCCACATGGATGATTTCCTCATTGATATCCAAAATTTTGTTTTGGAACCAAAACCGTCACGAAACCTTCTAACTTTTCATTCGCGAGTGTTGCTCCCTTTCATATGTAAGCAAACCGCTTATGCTCTTTTGGGACCTATTTCTGATGAAATTAGAGCATCTAAACAAATGGAAGGTTGTTTCCCCTCTCATAAGACCAAAAAACCTCCCATTAACAGAGATTTCCCCATAGATTTTTCGCATATTTACCGAACATCTAAGGTTTTTCGTTCTACTCCTACTCTCAACCAAGATCACATTGCATGGTTGAACAAAGTTGAGAACGTTAAAGGTGGCATTTGGAAAGCTCAAGGCATTTTTTATTTGATTCATTTTTTAGGTTTGGCCCCAGTTATTGCTATTACATGTTGATTTATGTACTTTATTTATGGGAAGGCTCCACAAACACCTTCCATTTTGCAAGTGGTATGCTTACCCCCACCTTATTAGACATTGCGGCCATTACTGGCCTCGTCCCACACGTGAAGCTTTTCTTCCTACTGAAGCCGGTGAAAATTTCATCCCTTTTGAAAAGGACATTGCTGGCTTCACCAAATACATGGAGCGCTTTCATGCTAAAGATGTTGACACCGTGTCTGATGAAGAGCATATTGCTTTCTTGGCTTTGTGGCTTTCCAAGTATGTCTTTTTCAATTGATCTTTGAAGGTAGCTAAATGGTTTAATGCATTAGCTCACCACCTCCATCTGGGTCGAGACATATGCCTAAGCGAACTCACTTTGGGGTTTCTCTATGAATCACTTAGCGTGGGAGTCAACCATATGACCTTACTCTCTCCTACTTCCAGCTATATGCTTGTTGGACCTTTTTTACTGCTTCAATTGTGGTTAAACGCCACTTTTCCGAGCCAACTCAAACTGCAACTTTTTGAAGCACAAGAAACTGCACTCGTTCAACATGCTAACGAAAGCCTTCGTCTTGTTGCAATGACACCCTCTAACAATGATATAACTCGAGAGGATTCGCTCAAAAAACACTTGAAAGTTTTCTTTATATGCACTTCTTTTCAGTCGAACATGGCCCTTTTTGCTTCCAGACAACATGGTCTTGAGTGGTTCACTCGACCATTTCCTCTTGTCAATCCTACACAACTCTCTGAATCCAAAGCCATCTGGGAAGTTTCTTAACCCCTAATCTTATTGCATCCAGGGTGGGAGCTAATGATGGCATAACACTTTTGTGTTATCAGCCTAATTTGGTGGCTAGACAATTTGGTTTGTGCCAGCCTCTGCCCCGTAGTTTTTATAAACCCTCTGATGAGTTGTGTCCCTGGTCCACTAGCTATAGTGAGGATAAATGTGCTCAATGTCTTCAACATTTTACTGCTGGTATCCCTACCATGAATCATGTCTCCTATGAACCCATTTTCTACCCCACTAAGGAATTCTATGATTGGTGGACTGTACAATTCGTGCAAAGCAATGGACTCTCAAGTATTTCAAGGCTCGACTGAACCATGATTTTGAAGCTATACAACAAAAGTTTAGGAAAGGTATGGCTTACTATTTTGGCTGTCAATCGCCTTCTTGTTCGCTTGCTCAGTTCTTTATTTTTTACCTTTAATGCTTTCTCTTATGTTATTGCCTCATTTAGTGGTCGAACACAAGAAACGTGTCAGGGAAGTTGTCAGTGGTGCGACCGTTTCTCCTTCCACTAATGAAGTTCTTGAAACTTATTCTCAGGTAATTTCCCGACCTTATGGCTTATTTACTTATCGCATTCCTCTTCTAACACAATGATTATGTTGACTCACTCGTAGGCCCCTGAAGCTAACATTGTCGTCCCTCCTAATCCATCTCCAAAAAGATGAAAACACTCTACTGGTCAAGAGAAATGAGTTATCGATGCGCCTTCGCCTATTTGTTCCCTAAAATTCTAAAAAGTCTAGGTCGACTCGCTCTAAGGCTGCCTCAAAGAAGACCGCTTATGTTGTTGTGCCTCCTACATTGGTGGCAAAAGAAAACGTCTTGCAGCCTGCACCAAATTGACCAGAGAGTACTAACTCTAGTCCTGAGGAAGACCATCAGGTACTTTCTTTTCCCAAGACTTCTACCTTAGGAATTTCGTCCTTTTATAACTTTACTCTCGTTCGCCTTTACTATTTCAACGACCAACATCTAAACTAACAAAAGGCCTCACCAAATTGTCTTGAAGTCTTCTAAGCCCAAAAGACCTTCAACTTTGATCTTGTTTGATACTAAACTTTCTAGGAGTGACCTCAATTCTCTTGTCAATCAGGATGCTTCTGAATATTCTCCTATTAGTGAAGGAGTGGAAGATGAAGCAAATAATTAAATTCTAGGAGAGGATGCAGGAGATGGCAGCCGAAAGGGTTCTGAACACACTAATGCTACTAATGTCACCACAACTACTGACCAAAATCCATCCCAAGCAAGAGAAGTAACTCCTCAAGCAAATGTTGCTTTTGGCACCAGCTTGACTCCTCCCAATGTGATTCCTACAGCTACCACCATGTCACCCCCCAAAAAATTGATGCTCTGAGGCAAAATATCCCCTTTGAGTACTTGGAACTCTTGGTGAATGCTAGGAACCATTCGACTGATGGTGGCTCCAGTACTTCTACTACATCAGGAAGTAACTCTTTCCTTGGGACACAAGAAGAAATTCTTGGTCGCCTCAGAGTTATGCTTTTTCATGTTGACCTGATTAGCCACTTGGAGGCATACCCTTTTGATGGTGCCAAAATCAAGGATTTGTTGAAGAAGGTTGATGTTCAAATCGCTTCTCCTTCGGTGGTCATGTTTGTGGCTGAAGTGTCTACCTTCCTTGACCAGCTTTTGGTTGACCTGGTCAAAAAGAAAGAACTTCAGCATAAATGTCTTCCTAAGGAGAAAGAATGTACCATTGAATTGGCCTTCGTGAACTCTTCTATGGTCACTAGTGAAGAATTGAATAAAACTCTTGACAAAGAGAAATCTGACTTCAAAACTACGGCCACCAACATTTCCCAGTGGTAACAACAGATTTTGATGTTGAAGAAGCAAATTGAAAGACTAGAGCACCAAATTAGTGAGGTGAAAATCATGCAATTTGATGGGTTTAGCACGACTGAAAAGGCACTGAATAATGAAGCTCTTATTGGGGTCGACACATCTATTTTATTAACCAACGCTTGTTTGGAACTTGCCAAAAGTGCTATGTGAGCCTTAAGAATAC